TCAGTTGTTGAGAAACACTGATTTATAGTTAGTAAAAGGACCTACATTCTGGAGATATAGGTTATTTTGTTTTATTGACCTCAATAGAAATGTATTGTAATAAACTCCAGTTTACATTAAACAAAGTTAAGAATAATATAACTGATTTATAGTTAGTAAAAGGACCTACATTCTGGAGATATAGGTTATTTTGTTTTATTGACCTCAATATAAATGTCTTGTAATAAACTCCAGTTTACATTAAACAAAGTTAAGGTTAATATAACTGATTTATAGTTAGTAAAAGGACCTACATTCTGGAGATATAGGTTATTTTGTTTTATTGACCTCAATATAAATGTCTTGTAATAAAGTCCAGTTTACATTAAACAATGTTAAGAATAATATAACTGATTTATAGTTAGTAAAAGGACCTACATTCTGGAGATATAGGTTATTTTGTGTTATTTACCTCAATAGAAATGTCTTGTGATAAGCTCCAGTTTACATTAAACAATGTTAAGAATAATATAACTGATTTATAGTTAGTAAAAGGACCTACATTCTGGAGATATAGGTTATTTTGTTTTATTGACCTCAATAAAGATGTCTTGTAATAAACTCCAGTTTACATTAAACAATGTTAAGATTAATATAACTGATTTATAGTATTGACTGACCAGTAGATATTGTTAGAACAGAGGAAAGACAGTGAGTGTTTTAACTGGAAAGACAATTAATTTAACCATTTGAGAATGTTTTGACCAGATACAACAGTTTTAAGAGAGTAAAATGAACTTGGAGGAGAAAGTAAAGTTTATTGATTTTGCTTTGAGTGTATTTTATAAATAGTCAACTAGCTTTTGAATCTATCTTCTCCAGGATTATCAGAGCTTTCCTGATAGAAGAACAGAAGATTGTAGTGAAGGTAATGAAAGCTCAACAAGCAGCAGCCAAACAATAACAATGTAGTTGTAAACTCCAATAAAACAAACTCCTTCAGAAACTTTGTTGTTCCTCATTTGTTTAAATAATATATGAAGAAGAACATTTTAATTATTGAAAAGCACATTTCTATGTATATAATAAATAGTATTTGAAGACATACCAGTAAAGAGAATGACTTGTATTTTGTTATAAATTGTTAAAGAAATGATACAGCAGTGTAATAATCTCTCAACAATACCAGTAAAGAGAATGACTTATATTTTGTTATAAATTGTTAAAGAAATGATATAGCAGTGTAATAATATCTCTCAACAATACCAGTTAAAGAAATGATACAGCAGTGTAATAATGTCTCTCAACAATACCAGTAAAGAGAATGACATATTTTGTTATAAGTTGTTAAAGAAATGATACAGCAGTGTAATAATGTCTTTCAACAATAGCAGTAAAGAGAAGATTCAGCAGTGTAATCATGTCTCTCAACAATACCAGTAAAGAGAATGGCATATTTTGTTATAAATTGTTAAAGAAATGATACAGCAGTGTAATAATGCCTCTCAACAATAGCAGTAAAGAGAAGATACAGCAGTGTAATGTCTTTCAACAATACCAGTGTCTCTCAACAAGAAAATGGTTGACTAATGAACAATGGTTTGTTTCCCCAAAAATATCAACCAAGTGAAATAGAAACGTCTATTTTACTTTGTAGCACTAAATTTTTTTAACTTTGTCCTAAACCAAGTTGCCAAAATGAAATTGGCCATCAGTCTGGAAGTATAAGATAATGCAATAAAAATCTGATTGGATGAATATTTTCTGCTAGATTTATTTCTTAGATAATTGATTTATTATAATATTGAAAAAGAAATTGTGTGTGTATAGTATTATCTGTTCAGGACGACCTATTACGGGAACTTAGTACATGTACAGATGTATAATTTTTATAAATACAAAACGCCACCAAATCTTGATTGTTATTTGCGTAATTTCACACATTTTAAAGGAAAATTTAAATATGTATGCCTGAAACGTTATTACTTTACAATTCATTTGGAATCGCCAGTTTTATAACCACGACAAATATTCCCTCTAGTCTTATGAGCTCAAAATTTGGGACGATTTGTGTAGCTTTGCGCGAATTTCCTTAGTAAACCAACCTGAATTAGTACACGTTACTTAGCAATAAGGTGCATTTATTCTAATTAAAAAGGTTGTCACAAGAAAATGTGATAATATAATCACCATTGACATCAACCTCTTACCAAACCTTGGACTATTTGTAATTTCTAAAACATCACGTGTGGGCCAATAATATACTTCACCTGGCTCGTATCCTAATGCCATGTTACATGGCTTGAACTGACTGGGATTATAGGGTTGGTAATGTTTTTCTGGATAATAGTAAAATATTTTCAGAGTGCTATTCAAGGTGTCATGACTTAATTTGAACCAAAACCTTTACACTTTTATTGGAATGTAGGTTTTCTTGCTGACTTCTGGATATGAATAGTCAGAGAGAGATTAAAAATAGGTCTAATTTTAGGCCTAGACCTGACTTTTGGTGGGGAGTAAGGTAGGTGGTAAAAAAAGGTGAGTGGATAATGTTACTACTAGGAACAGGATCTACAGTTACTGGTGTAATTATAAAAATGAATGTTTTTCATCTGAAACTCTTACATTGTTGCTAATACTAATAGTAGATTGGAATATGTTATAGTGTAAGCCGTAAGCCTAGAAATCTTGCTCCACTAACTGGGCCTGGCGTGGTCAGGGTGCTAGACTCGTAATCTGTGGTCACGCAATAGTATACCTTTGTTGAAAATGCTTGAATTTTATGCTGCGATGTTAGTGGTGGTGGAAAATTGCTGTAAGCTGAAACATTTTCAAGATTCAATGCAGAGATCTATAGTCAGCAACTGGAACGTTTAAATTGAGCCATTAATCAGAAATGCCCTTCACTTGTCGATTGGGAAGGTGTTGTTATCCACGAAAATACACGTTCACAGGTGACACGTTTGACGCAACACAAGATTATGGAATTGGGTTGGGAAGTTCTCCCCCACCCACCATATTCTCCAGATATGACAACATCAGATTACCATCTTTTTCGTTCGCTGCAACACCATCTTAATTGGAAAACGTATACAAATGTGGAAGGTGTAAGAGGTCATCGACATGTTTTTTGCTTCAAAGCCAAGTGATTTCTTTAATCAGAGCATTAACAACCTGATTGTTAGATGGAAAAGCATCATCGACAAGAATGGAGACTATTTCATTTAATAAATGTTTTGATAGATAACTTGATCGGATTTTTTCATAGAAAAAAAAGCGGCATTAATTTCTTGGCGACCTAATATGGTAATCGAAATTTCAAGAGGCTATTGTTTTAATTCTAAAGTCTAGACAGGAATATAATTATGTTGTTTTATTCCATGTCTTTCTACCTTACACAGGGGCATAGCTAGTGCTCGCTACAGAAGGGGTGGAGCTTTCCCTAAAATTTTGAGTTTTTCTCTACACAAAAAAATTAAGTACTTTACGTGAAAGGCAAATATTTATTTTTCTAAAAATATTGGACCTTTTAGAATATTGGAGAGGTCTTTCGACCCCCTTCCATGTACAGGGTTTGTAGTTCTTGTTGAATACTAAAATTCTAAAGATAGAAATTTGATTGTGACCAAGATATTGTTTTCTAAAATACATAAATTATAACAGTAAGGAAAGATGAAAGAGAATATTACCGTTCTCTTTCATGGTTATAATTAGATCTTCCCCCCACAATTGAAAACCTGGACACACAGATGTAGTGAAACATTATTTTACTGAAGCACATTGTAGTGTGCATGCTTAACGTTTGTTTATGGAAATTAATATTTAAATTTTTTTAGTAATTTTTGAATTAGACAAGTTTTACTTGTGTATTATATGTCATTGGCCTTATAGGAGCCGAATGTCAAATTTAGGAGATAAATATTACGTATTTCCACTGGCCGGTAATTTCACGGACTTAAAACAATAAAATTCAGGGTTCAATACCCTGAGGTTGACAGATCACAGATAGTCAATTGTGTAGCTTTGCGCTATAAATAAATCCAATAGTTTGGTTCTAGTAATTTGTTTTATGTATCTTTTTTTGATAGCTTTAGTTGTGGGTCCTTTTTTGTTGTGACAACCCATATTTGCTTTTAATGTTATGTATCAGATCTGAAACTTACAGATTGTTAGCAAGCTGTTTTTCATAATTGAAAATTTATTAACATTTGTATGCACTAAATACTACATTTTACATGAGGAAACAAAAAACAAGCTACACTTAGAGACACCGCTAAGAAATAATCACTTTCCTGTTTTGACAAAAGTATTCTTAAACAGAGCAAATGAAATGAACATTAATGTCATATATTTAATCAAACATTGGTGCAATATACAGAGATATTTGTTAGCAAGAAATTTTAATCAATGAAGTATTTTCAGCTTGAAAGATTTCAGTTTATATTTTAATTTGTAGTAGGGACCGTGCGTGGCCTTGTAGTTGGCGAGCTCCGACTGCGAGTCCAAGGGTTAACATTTCGCGGTCTGATATCGGAAAAACGCGCTCCACACTTTGGAGCGTGGGTCATTATAAGAATAAAGCTCAAACCTTATTATTCGGTTAGACAAGAGTTGGCGGACGGTGTTGTTAACTAGCTGCCTACCTTCTAGTCTGCCAGTTCAAAACTAGAAACGACTAATGTGCAGTAGTTTTGCATGAAAATTCTGAAATAAACAATTATCAATTGTAGTAATTGGTGTCAGTAAGAAATAAAAAAGATGCACTGGAAAAAATCTTGTTCCAAATCAGTTAAAATGGTTATTTAGTGCAACTGGGTAAATTTTCAAAATGTTCATATTTACTAATTTATAGCACAGACTTCCACAAGGATTAACTTAAACCTGGCTATTTCCCGAATTTTCTCAATAACTTATTTTTTTTATAAAATATATCAAATTAATTTATTATAAATACCATTTATCTGTTTATTCAGAAACAACAAAATAAGTGGTTTGTTTTTTGTACAGAGAATTATGGGTAACTCCGTATAAGACCTTTTCAATTAAAGTATTAATAAGGTAGGAAATTTATTTCTGAGTTCTATGCATAGCCATTCCTAATTTGGAACTGATAGGCTAGATGGAAGGCATTTAATCAACAGCACACACCGTCAAATCTTGTTTGATCAAATATTAGAAGCTGAGCATCACTCTTATAATGCACAGGTCTCGAAGTGCAGAGCATGTTTTGGCAATAGTGAGCCACAAACCATGAATTTTAGGATTCACGGTCTGGGCTTGTCAACTACTATTAAAGAATATTCTATAATTAATGTTTTTATCACAGGTAATTTATTTAAACTGCACAGATATATAGAACTTGTAATTTTGGTGGTGAAGTTTAATTGTATTAAACACTAAACATGGTGTTTTGAGATGTATTCTACTCAACATGTTATTATATGATTTCAAGAATACATAACATTGATGCTATTCTTGTGAATTATGTGTGTCTAATACTCAGTTACCAACTGTTTCTTGGTTGTTGTTTTTAGAGAATATAATAGTTTTAAATAAGGAAACAATACATGTTTAATAAAAAATCCGTTCTTTGTTTAGAACCAATATATTTATCAAATATTAATAATATAAAACAAGATTATAGTTCAGTATTTGACCCTGATACGTCTTGTACAAAAGTTTGTGTTTTTATATTAAACAATTATGTATTTTATTAAATTCTTGGTTAGCTAAAGAAAACTAGGTCTACTTATGTTACAAACAGATCACACAAAATTTCCATCTGCATTGAATCCAACATCTTTCAACCTTCAGTTATATTTCAGTAACATTTCAATTATTCAAATAACACATTGAAGATAGTAGGTGATTACAAAGACTGATATTTAATATGACTAAGTTCTAATCATGAAATGATAATCATTGTATTATCTCTAATATTATACATTTAAAACACAGTTGACTATGATAGCTACATAGAGGGTTAAAGAAAATAAACGGAAATATATTAACATTTTATAAACAATAGATATCAGTTTATCTAAAGCTTCTTACAGTTTTACCACTGCTATAATAGATAGTCAGTTTATCTAAAGCTTCTAACAGTTTACCACTGCTATAATAGTCAGTTTACTACTGCTATAATAGATATCAGTTTATCTAAAGCTTCTTACAGTTTACCACTGCTATAATAGTCAATTTATCTAGAGCTTAAACAGTTTACCACTGCTATAATAGATATCAGTTTATCTAGAGCTTAAACAGTTTACCACTGCTATAATAGTCAGTTTATCTAGAGCTTCTTACAGTTTACTACTGCTATAATAGATAGTCAGTTTATCTAGAGCTTAAACAGTTTACTACTGCTATAATAGTCAGTTTATCTAGAGCTTCTTACAGTTTACTACTGCTATAATAGATAGTTTATCTAAAGCTTCTAACAGTTTACCACTGCTATAATAGATAGTCAGTTTATCTAGAGCTTCTAACAGTTTTACCACTGCTCTTATATATATATCAGTCAGTTTATCTAGACCTTCTAACAGTTTTACCACTGCTATAATAGATAGTCAGTTTATCTAGAGCTACTAACAGTTTACCACTGCTATAATAGATGTCAGTTTATCTAGAGCTTCTTACAGTTTACTACTGCTATAATAGATAGTCAGTTTATCTAAAGCTTCTTACAGTTTACCACTGCTATAATATATATCAGTCAGTTTATCTAGAGCTTCTTACAGTTTACTACTGCTATAATAGATGTCAGTCAGTTTATCTAGAGCTTCTTACAGTTTACCACTGCTATAATATATATATCAGTCAGTTTATCTAGACCTTCTAACAGTTTTACCACTGATATAATAGATAGTCAGTTTATCTAGAGCTACTAACAGTTTACCACTGCTATAATAGATAGTCGGTTTATCTAGAGCTTCTTACAGTTTACTACTGCTATAATAGATGTCAGTCAGTTTATCTAGAGCTTCTTACAGTTTACCACTGCTATAATATATATCAGTCAGTTTATCTAGAGCTTCTTACAGTTTACTACTGCTATAATATATAGTCAGTTTATCTAGAGCTACTAACAGTTTACCACTGCTATAATAGATGTCAGTCAGTTTATCTAGAGCTTCTAACAGTTTACCACTGCTATAATAGATAGTCAGTTTATCTAGACCTTCTAACAGTTTTACCACTGCCATAATAGATAGTCAGTTTATCTAGAGCTACTAACAGTTTACCACTGCTATAATAGATAGTCGGTTTATCTAGAGCTACTAACAGTTTACC